AAGAGTCCCAGCTCAAGCCAGCTCCTGGAGCTACCTTGCTACCATTCTGCAAATTAGTCTACAAATTGTATCGACTATATGATTAGCCTGTTAACAGCATTTTAACATCCTTAATCATAACCTTAATACATATTCTTCACAACTCAAAGATAGATGTAGGTTTCATTTTTAAAAGGTACACACTATACATTTTTAAACGGTGATTTATTTTGAAAATTTTTCAGATTCATTTTAAACTATATCAGAAAATGAATGATTGTTGGGTGTTATCTCTATATATTAAAGAACGTTCTTCCTGCAGTGCTACAGAGTGACATCATCACATCACACTACGTTGTCGTGCCTTCCAGCCTCAACAGAGTCCCTGAAGCAGTCCCCATTGGCCACGTGTTTCCACTGCAGTGCTTCAGCCTTTGAAATGTACAAGAGCCCCTGCTTCAGTCCCTGCTCACACCGTTTCCCTGCTGTGTCCTAGCTCCCCGCCCCAGGGATAGTGCAGGGGGGAGTCAGCTTTTAAGCCAGCTCCCGCTCCCCCCTTTGCTGCCTCTTTCCGATAGTCACTACTCGACTAGTCAAGTCAGTAAGGGGGCAGGAAGCGTCTAGTCAAGTCACTACTCGACGATCCAATTTTTGATTGCTCCAACCCCAAACCTTCCATCCCTCATTTGCCCTTTAGATAGGGCAGGAGGCTGCAGCTCCCTCCCCCATTTATATGGGAACATTTTTTACTGTTCCTCTTCCACAGGGAACTAGAGGAAAGTGCACAGTTTACTCCCTTCTTCAATCTGGCTCCGGAGAACAGGGAGCAGATGAATCTGGACCTGTCCCAGATGACGGACATACATTCCTCCCCAAACTGTGTCCACTGGAACTGCAGCAGCCATGGAGAGGCACTTTTCACCAGGCCCCAAACTGCTGTGGGGACAGGGGGCTGGTATAGTCCTCTCTCCACAGGGCAGCTTGTATACTGAACCCCTCTGCCCCACACCAAAGCAATGATTTAAATGAAGAAAAACAAAAATTAATTGAGTTAAAGATAGGGGTGTTAAATTGCAGTTAATCAGCTAATCAAGTAGTTGATGGAATTTCCATCGACTACTTTATTAGTCAATGGGAGAGGGGCACTTGCTGCTCCTGCTGCAGCTCTGCATTTTAAATGTAGTAGGAGCTGGGCTGCTGTGTGCCCAGCTCCACTATATTTTAACTTCAGAGCTGCAGAAACCAACGGTGTTCTCAAAGGTACTAGCAATCGTTGCTGCTCAACTACGTAGGCAAGGAGTCTTCATATTCCCATATCTCGAGTGCTGCCTCATAAGAGCAACTACAAACTCGGATACACAGAAGGCAGTCTCCCTCACCAGAACCCTTTTTCACACTCTAGGATTACAGATAAACCTCACTAGATGCAAACTCCAGCCATCACAAATTATGGAATTCATCGGAGCCCACTTTAACTGTGTGAGGGCCATAGCGTCCTTACCCCTCAACAGATTGCACGCTATCAAGGACCTCTTAATGATATTACAGGACACTCCAAACATGACGGTGAGAACTTGTTTACAACTATTGGGTCACACGGCTGCAGCCACCTCAGTGGTGTTGCATGCCAGGTTGCACATGTGATCAATGCAACATTGGCTCCGGACAGTATACAATCCACGGTACAACTCAGACACCAAACAGGTGTCCGTCCCAACCAGGGTCAAGCGTCCCCTCCACTGGTGGACAGACCAAAGAAATGTGTGCGCTGATGTCCCTTTTTGCAAACGTACTCCATCCATTACAGTTACAACGGATGCATCTCCTTCAGTGGGGAGCTCATCTATCCCGCCTCACTACCCAAGGCCAATGGTTGAGCCAGGAATCCAGCCTACACATAAATGTTCTGGAGCTCAGAGCAATATTCTACGCATGTCAACACCTTCCTACAACAAATACAGAATTGTATGGTTCAGATTTTCACGGACAATCAAGCAACGACTTTTTACATCAACAGACAAAGGGGCGCCAGATCTTTCCTATTATGCAGAGAAGCTGCCCACCTTTGGACATGGTGCATAGCACACAACATATACGTAGAGACCCCCTGTCTCCCGGGCAAAGACAATCTAATGGCTAACAGCCTCCACAGGAACTTCAGATCTGACCACGAATGGGAAATAGATCCATCGATCATACATCAACTCTTCACACGCTGTGGGTTTCCTGACGTGGACCTGTTTGTAACCAATGCCAGCAAGAAGCATCCATGTTACTGTTTACGTTCTGGCACTGGCAAGCACTCCCTGGAGGACAAGTTTGCAATATGATGGAACGCAACGCTCTCATATGCTTATCCACCCATCCCCTTCATACATTGAGTGGTCAACAAAATAAGACAGGAATTACCCACGGTGATCCTTATTGCCCCAGACTGGGTGAGACAGACTTGGTACACTTACCTTACTCAGATGTCCATGAAACAACCATGGTGTCTTCCATTTCTTCCTCATTTCCTAACCCAGGAGAAGGGGACCCTGCACCATCCCATCCTCCAGTCACTCCATCTTCATGCTTGGTTCCTCAATTGCTAACATCGCTAGAGACAACATGCTCAGAAAAAATAAAACAAATCTTACGCAACAGTTGCAGACCATCAACCAGAAAATCCTACCTTTACAAATGGCACAGGGTCGCGACATGGACGGAACACAGAAACTTGAAACCAGCCACAGTTCCTCTCAACCTTATTCTGCAATATATACTAGAGCTGAAAGACTCAGGGCTATTGCTCAGTTCTCTTAAGGTTCATCTCGCTGCCATATCAGCTCTTCACCAACCTATTAACAATAAATTAGTTTTTGCTCACCCTACGATCAAAAGATTTTTGAGAGGCATACAGAATACTTACCCGCCTCACAGGCCCCCCCACACTGGCCTGGGACCTGAACCTGGTTTTCCAGGCTTTCACTATGAAACCATTCGAACCTCTGACAACATGTTCCATGCTCTATCTCTCCATGAAAGTTGCCCTGCTCACGTCAGCCAGGAGAGTCAGTGAGATCTGCACTTTCATGTCAGACCCTTCACTCACCACATTTCATAAAGACAAAGTAGTTCTCCATCCCCACCTGAAGTTCCTCCCAAAAGTTTCCTCACACTTCCACTGTAATGAGCCTATAAATTTACCTGTGTTTTTCCCAAAACCTCACACCAGTACCAGGGAGGCTGCATTACACACGCTTAATGCAAGATATGCAATTTCCTTCCACTTGGACAGAACTAAACAATTTCATAGACTGTTCTTCTCCACCACAGAGAGATCGCTCGGCATGCCAGTCTCCACTCAGAGGATATCTCGGTGGACAGTGGAGTGCATTTCTCTAGCTTACACTACCAAAGGACAGTCGCCCCCTTTCCAAATCAAGGCCCACTCAACTAGGCCCACTACCTCGACTACCATGGCCTACATGCATGGCATCCCCTTCATGAACATTTGTAGGGTGGCTACATGGTCCTCCACCCACACATTCACAAGGCATCAGTCCCTGGACAGTCACCCCTCTAGAGGTACTCATTTTGGTCATACTGTCCTCCATACAGTACAAAATACTGCCTAATTGAACCACCCACCTTCTTCACGGTACGGCTCATAGTCATCTAAAGTGGAGCATTCAGAGGGACACTCCTCGAAGAAGAAGAGAGGGTTACTCACCTTGTGCAGTAACTGAGGTTCTTCGAGATCGTTGTCTCTGTGGATGCTCCACCACCCTTCCTTCCTCTCCCCCCCTCCCACTTTGGTCTGCTAGAGTCTCCCTCTGGGGAAGAGAAGGAACTGAAGGGACTGTTGTTGCGCATGTGTGGTAGAGGCACCGCAAGTGCCATTAGCTTCACGTGCGCAGCACACCAGAGAGCACGGCTACCAAAAATCTCTGACTAGGTGCGCAGCAGTGCCCAAGACACCTAAAGTGGAGCATTCACAGGGACACTCCTCGAAGAAGACAGGGTTACTTACCTTGTGCAGTAACTGAGGTTCTTTGAGATGGTTCCTAAGGTGGAGCATCCACAGGAACAAACATCTTGAAGAACCTCAGTTACTGCACAAGGTGAGTAACCCTCTCTTATCTGGTAGTCAACTAGTTAAGGACCCAAGCTGCTCCAGGTAAACATTCTAGTATTGGTATAAAGAGGTTTCAGCTAGGGGGAAAGATTCTTGAAGAGGCAGGGTGGAGTTGGAAGGGCTGGATCAGCAGTGGTCCACACAGTATTGCAGATATTTTGGGTAAAACTTTTACACAAACCCTAGGTTGATTAAATTTTTCTGGGGGCTCTCCAGTCCCTAGAGCAGCCAGGGTTTAGGAGGGCACTAAGAGATGTCTTAGAGCCACCTTGACCCATCACTTCTATGCTGCAAGTGTTGTGTTGAATCTGTAAGGGTACATCTACACTAAGGGCTAAAGTTGAATTAAATACACAACTTCATCTATGTTAAACGTGTTGTTGAAGTCAAAGTACCTTAACTCGGCTTTTAGTGCTGTCTACACAGCAGGAAGTCAAAGGAAGAACACTTCCTTCAACTTCCTTTACTTTTTGTGAAATGAAGGTTACCATGAGTTGGAGTAAGAAGCCCGTTATTTCAAAATTATTTTAAAATAATGGGCTCACTGTGTAGACGTGCACTCTGTTATTTTGAAATAAGGTGAGTTATTTTGAAATAAGCATGCAGTGTAGAAATAGCATTATGTTGCTAAGAGAGGCAGTACTCAGTCTCAACTGTAATGTTTTTATTTGGCTATATTAAAGTTTATTTAAGAACAAATAACCCACCCCACCTCTGCTCACAGAATGGGCAAGTGGCAGAGGACTTTGAAAAACTAATCTTCCTCACACTTTCTGAGAACCTATTTTTTCTCTTTTATTTTCCCAGACAGAAGTAAAAATGGGGCAGCGATGGCAAAGGTAACACAAAGTAATCTTTTAAAAAATGTACAATTTCATTTTTCTCTTTTGCTTTGTCATAGGCCAAAATGGGTGATGCTGAAAAAGGCAAAAAGCTCTTTGTTCAGAAATGCTCTCAGTGCCACACAGTTGAAAAAGGGGGTCCGCACAAAACTGGCCCTAATCTTTGGGGTCTGCTTGGTCGTAAAACAGGACAAGCTGCAGGATTCTCTTACTCGGATTCAAACAAGAACAAAGGTAAAAAACAAAAGGGTGACATGGGGTAAGGTGCAGGACTGGAAGCATAAAGAAGCAAAATTAATTCAATGATTGCCATCTCAAAAATCCGTACAGAACTACCCTTATAGCTGTTGAATGGCAGCATCTGCAGAAGCAAAATGTTTTTTAACTGACATTTTAGAAATCTCTTCCAGCACATCTTAGATTTTTGGTACCTGGCTATTCACTGCCTTCCCAGAATTTTGCATTGTCAGAGGGAAAATTTTAATGCCTATTTCTTGGAATGATGCTGGCCATTTAGTATGATATTGCTTCAGTTGGTCACTGTTCTTTACTGGCATTGCATTTGACAGTCTCTTTACTTAGTGGCACTTGACTAATTATAGCTCTAATATTATATGCTGATGTTGTGTCTCTATGCACTGTTTTAATGCAGATGATCCTGAAAGTAACAAGGTGTTTACAAGTATTTTTACATAATAAACTACAATTGAATTCATGTTAGATTTATTTGGCTCCAACTATTAATTGCAAATATGATTCTTAGTTTAAGATATTTAACATTTTTTTGAATTCTTTGACTCTTCAACTTTACTGGGATCCCAGGCAACTGAAGAGAATGTGTGTGGAATTCAATCTTATACTGCAATTTCATTTATAGAAAGATCCATTCCCACAAAGAAATCATGTAAATTACTATTAATGTTGGTCAGAAAGTGGTTATGTGAGCTAATAGTGCAAGTGATTACTGCAAATAAGCCATCAACAGATACTTAACTGTACTTTAGATTAGGGCATAACACATAAACCATCTTAGGCAACTTATCTCCTGAACACAGAAATCAGACACACGGGGTGCTGCTATTACTAGTTTTTCAATAGTCTTCAGTACTGTTTGCCACAAAGATGGAAGCTGACACTAAAATGATTTAATCTTGCAACTAGTTCCATTCCCTGCCAACAAACTTTGGAGCTACAGGGGTTCACTTCCAACATCTCTGTTGATTGTATCTTTGAGCTTGCTTCAGTCTACAACAAGGCTAGGTAAAATATGGCCCATGGGTTGGATCCAGCTCACCACTCCATTGGCTCTGGCCTGCAGGTTAGTAGGGTGCCCCATCCCTGCATGCCATTCAGAAAAGCCAGCTGCAGGGCCCTTTGAACAGCTGGGAGCCCAGGAGAGGCTGTGAAAGAGGCTTAGCTGGGGTTGGGGGCATTGCTCAAAGTACCTCTCCCCCTGTCACTTGCAGCTATTCACATACGCACATGGCCCCGGCAGCTGGTGCAGGGTGTGGAAGACAGGGAGCATGTTTGAGCAATTTGCTATGTTCCTGGCTGGGAGTCGCCCAGGTAAGTCTCCCAGCCAGAACTTGCCTCTGGCACTTTGGCTCCTCCTTCTCCCCACCCCTGTGCCCCTCACACCCCACATAACCCAAAAGCTCCTGCATCCAGATCCTGCACCCTAATCACCTGCCCTAGGTCACAACCTCCTCCTGCCCAAGATCACGACCCAAGTCTACAACTTACCATCTCAACTACTTCAGACCTCACTAAGGTAACAAAAGTCCAAAACAAGAGTCCATACCAACAACAGGTACTTCCAACCAGCTTAGGCTTCTAATCAGCCCACCTCTATGCTCATTTCCCAGTCCCTCTGATACCTTCCTTGGAGTCCTTTCATGGTCTCAGAGTCTTCCATAAGACTCCAGCTTACTCCATGTAGGTCCTCCTCCAGAAGTTTACTTAGCCCTTATGAGGTCTAGTTTTGGGCTGCCATCTGATTCCAATTAATCTGCCTCTTCTGGTTAAACTGAAGATAATTATGGCACAGGATAACTGACTGAAAAAGGCTGGCTGTCCCAGGCCTCCTAGCCTTTAAAGGGACGGGTGACGTTATACACCTGTCCCTATTAGAGAAATTCCAGAGAATAGTAGTGATACTGCTGTTTCTTTTGGAAAGTTTTCTATTGCCCCTAGCATGTTCAACATTTATGAACCACTAATTGGGGAAATATAGCGTGAGCTAGTGACAGTATGCAGATGGTCAACTATATTTTTAACAGAATTAGAAGGAGCTTTCCCTGTGCTCACCCAATATCTAGGTCAAATAGGTAATATCAAAGCTAACTTTTAATGTATTATCTGGAGAAGGTGGAGGTGCTGCTGACTTGACAGAGAGAAGTGCTTTAAAGAGCTGGCAAAATTCATAACCACTGTGTGTAATTAACAATTTCTGTGAACAGTTTTGCCAGTAAATGGATAATCTCAAGATTGAAAAGAGAATTTGCTCAACCCTAACTAAAAATTACACTGATAAATTGAATCTGAATACATTCCAGGAAAACATGGTCTCTACTGCACTTGAATATGAAGATATTTGTATAGATTAAAGTAGCAAACGTTATTCAAAAGTGTTCAGTTTAACTAAACTTGTTTTAAACATTAATTTTTCCAAGATGGTTGGTATAAATTGGAATATTAAAATGAGTCAAAACTAAACATAGTACCAGTTGTATGTGAAATATGAAATGTGTTCATGCAATAAAAAATGCTGGATTTAATGGATCATTCATTCTCATTCTTTTTTCCCTCCTTTGGAATTTAGAACATAAATTAAGTAGTTTACTTTCAGACCTTCATACCCTAGATTTTGATACTTAGAATATGCTTGACATATGTAGCTATATGTAGAAACAAGTGGTAGGACATTAATACAATTTAAGCAATTCATTATTGTCTAAACTTTTCAGGTGTTGTTTGGAATGAAAATACACTGATGGAGTATTTGGAGAACCCTAAGAAATACATTCCTGGAACTAAAATGATTTTTGCTGGCATTAAAAAGAAGAATGAGAGAGCAGATGTTATTGCATACTTGAAAAAAGCAACCTCTTCGTGAAGTGTTTTTACAACTACCGTGTTGTCAGGAAATGTTTCAAAATTTGAATATCTCTTTTATCGGTATTCATGTTTCAGTAGTCTGTTAATATTTGTTTATTAGGTACTGGCCTTAGCATCTGAAAAAATCAGTCTTTATTTGATTTTTGCTAAGTCCATTGCCAAAACAAAATAAGGATGAGCACTATAAACTACTATTCTATGATGGTAAAAGTGACCCTGGATAGCCATTTCAAAAGAAAAATATTGTTCTTCTTTCCAAGAGCTTCCAACTGAAGGGTCTGGTCCTGCAGATATTAATATGTATCTGGAATTACACATACATATAACTACATTGAAATTGATGTGACTATTCAATTTAGTACAGTTATTTACATGTATAAGTGGTTGTAGCACTGAACCCTAATGCTTCTTTCTTGAAGATTTTACTTAGGCAAAACTCTCAATGAAATCAGTAGTGGCTCAGCATTTTGCAGAATTCAGCCCCAACTTAAAAGAGCAGGGAATAACAGACAATGGAACTGGACTGTTAATGGAACTGGACTGGAAATGGGGAAAAACACTTATAAGATATTTTTAGGAAGCCAATCAGCTTTGTTTCAAGATGTTAGTATAAAAGTGAAGCCGGAGGAATTGGAACAGCTACAGTTTGATCTTTGGATACTTTCAAAGTTTTAGGTTACTCCTTGAATTAGTTCTTTATGTGTTAAAAAGACATAACTGTTCAGCAGTCTCTTTTCATTACAGTTATAGAGTTTTTTTCACTACATGTATTCACCTCATGAGTCAAATATAGTAAGATGTTCATCCCCCTTACCATAAAGAAACAAACAAGGTCTGGAATAGCTCAAATGATGATACTAAAAGCAGGAATACTTTCACCTTTAGTTCATACTCACAAATGTTTTGGTATTTATAAATTGTAATGGTTTAGTCTGGGTTTGAGAAGATAAGACTATCAGCTGAGCTGATATCTTACCCGAATAGTTTAGCAAGTTCAAGGATTAAACATGCATCAAAACTGAACTACCTTTCTCACTTTATTAAGGCACTTTGAGCTTAGGTTCTGACGGATTCATTTATGCTGTACCGTATTTATACTATGGAAGAAAAGAATTTCAGTCTCTAGAGTTATAACTCATCTTTCAAATGGTAAACCTTGAAAATGAGGTTGGAATGGGGATTGAGGACATTTAAAAATGAAAGCGCTACTGTTAATAGTAGGACTGTCAATTAATGCGCGTTAACACCTGTGATTAATGCAGAGCACGATTAATGCAGAGCACAATTAATGCATTAATTTTTTTACGCGTTAATTGCAGGCATTTCTACAGCACTGTTGCTTTGAAACGCCGCCAGGATGCTTCAAAGGGGCAGTGCAGTAGGAGCCCCTGGCTGATCTCAGGCTCCGGGCAGCGCTGCCCCTTTGAAATGCCGCCAGAGCATTTCAAAGGGACAGTGCCTGTAGTCAGCTGTGCAGCAGTGGCAGCATTTCCAAGGGGCAGTGCTGCAGGGAGCCGGGGTCAGCTGGGGACTTCAGCTGATCCTGGGCTCCCGCAGTGCTGCCTCTTGGAAACGCTGCCATGGCGTTTCAAAGGGGCAGCCCAACGCAGAGCCCGGGATCAGCTGGGAACTCCAGCTGATCTCAGGCTCCTGCAGCACTGCCGCTGCCCCTTTGAAACACGGCGGTGTAGGAATTTCCAAGGGGCAGTGCTGCCTGGAGCCAGGGTCAGTTGGAAACTCCACATGATCTCAGGCTCTCACGGTGCTGCCCCTTTGTTGATGTACACAAAGCAAATGAGGTAAGATGTTTAGGGTACTTATGTGCCTTATTGATTAACGTTCAGTTCCACGTACAACACTGCCATGACAGGTAAATTAGTAAGTTACAGTTAAGGAGTATATTAAACAATATACCCATTTACAGTGCACCACATACACTATTGTGTATAGAAAACAAAAGAGTAAGGCACTTAATTATTTGTAATGATTTTGTCATTTGTCAGGTACATATCCTGAAATGGCATCAATAATGCAATGTTGAACTGTATAAAAAAATCATACCAAAATACCACTCACTGGAGAAAAAAAACTTGATAGCAAACTAAATAGACTTTTTATGTAATACTGAAGCAAAAACCAATACTGTAAAATAAGCAATAAAAGGGATAAGTATATGAAGTGAAATTGCCCATTACAGGTCAACTTGCAGAAAACCTCTTAGACCACATACACACGCATTACTGTTGATGTTCAATGGGCAGTAACACATGAGTGCAGGCTAAATTTTAACAAATGATTTATAATTAATAATTTTCAAGCAACAAACAAACTAAATGATTAACTTTGTTTCAATTCATCAATGTCTGTGAACATACCTTGAGCTCCTCTCTCAGCTGGAGAGTAGGGGAGAACAGAGAGAGCATGGCTTACATTTCCACCAGGTGTTGTTTTGAACAGGGCTTACTGTAGCTAACAACTCCTGCATTCAGTATATACACATGGTATTAAATATTGTCATACAGCAATATAAATGGCTTTCTGAGACCACATCAAATAAATATTTGATGTTAAAAAAAATCTATTCATTTTGGCAGACCAAAAAGTAAACTTGTCAGAATGAAAACCAAACTGAAATGTATCAAATTAGAATTTTTTGGTGCATTACACATGATTTTTTTTTTCATTTTTGTGAATAATTCATATCTAGCTTCAGTAAAAATACAATAGAAGTATGCCTTTCAGAGGGATTTCATGTAAGACAGAGCAGCATCTTCAGTGAATATTTGAGAAATTCTGCATACAAGTGATGACATATATACAGTATATATAAAAAAAGAGGGCAAAATAGTACCTCACTGGAGGATCAAAGGAAAATGAAGAAAGAGTAAACTTGTGGTATGTAGGGGAAATTCAAACTGTAGAAATAAAAATAGACAATTACAAAAAAGTGCTATTCTACAAAACACTGGTACGTGATCAGCTGGGTGGGGGGCAATTAAGATGACTCAATTCAGGCAATCAAAAGAGAAGACAAATTTGTGAAATGCTATAAAGCTATGTTATTCCTATGAAAACTGACATGGAAATCTTTGAACTTTTGGGATGGTGTATGTGTGTAAGTAAAATATTATTATACTGAACCAAGTCTCCTGGAGTTCAGAGCCTCAAAAGGTATTCAGGTTACAAGGGTCTGGGCTCCAGGCATTGGTGTATGTCACAATTCAGGGCAACTGGACCTGTATTTCTTCTCAGACAGTGATGAAAGTAACTTAAAATTCCTTACTGGTATGGTCCTAGTGCAACTGGGTCCCTGCCAGCTCTTTAAATAGTTCCCTGCTGACTTTTGCCAGCCCAGCCAGTTCATGCTGGAGCTGTACACCAGGATGCACCCGCTTACTTTCCCCTCTGCTCTCAGTAGTCCAATCAGGAAGAAAGCCCTGAGCCTGTTTAAAACCAAGCTATTTATTCAAAAATCCTTTCTTTGTCTGTAGGACTCTGCAGAATCCAGTTTGAACTAGTATATGTGTGCCTCTCCTCAGAGGTGGCTTCAAAGGGCTGATAGCCAGAGGAATTACATTAGCAACCCCCTCCTCCTGGAGGCATTACACACAAAGCTTCTGCACATACACACGCATACACACACAACTGTATTTTAATGCAGTGGCCCCCAAAAGGTACCAAACCTAATTCAATAAGATTTAATTTAGTTCCACAAGGTTTGCTGAGAATCCCCCAGGGCATTGTCAAGTCTGTCACAGGCTGCACTGTGCCCTTAACAGGACAACCATGGGGAGAGAATGCTGTGCTAACATGGACTATCTTGAAAGAACACAAGCCCCTCTGCCACCCACACACCCTACTTTGGCAACCACTCCAGATGGCTCATTCCATTTCCAACTTCTTTTTCCCTCTTCCAGAGTTTCCTCTCCCCTGCCATTATCCAGCAGTTCATCTCCCCCTTGCGTCTGTCTCCAATGTCATCTGCCCCTCTCTTCACCTTTTTTACCTTCCTCTGGAAACAGTTTGGCCTCAGCAAAACCTGCCCAGCCCACCTCCAGTTCGACCCAGAGTTCCGCCCTCTCTTCACCAAGGAGCAGTAAGGGTAGCGTGAGGACAATGGCTTCAGAAGATGGTCTGAGCACTGAGGGTGCCAGGACTACAGCAGCTAATCCTGACCAGCAACCCTAACCCTGTCGCACCCCTTGCAGTGAGACCCAGCCAGACGCTTAGAGTCATGCGGGGAAACAGCAGCTCGGAGACGTGTATTTTACTCCCACTGCTCTATTTCGCGCCTGCGCACAGAAGACCCCCTCCCACTCTCTTTGCTCTCGATTGACAAGTTTCTGTAGCTCACGACGCGTGCTTTCTCAATGAAACGCAGGCATCTTACAGAATCAAGGCAGGCAGAATGAAACTTCACTGAGCGCAATACCCCCGAACAATAAACGACGCTGCCAAACTGATTTCACTCAGTGTGTGCGCTAAATGAAGGATAATCGAGGACAGATACCGGCTCAGAGATAGAGAATCTAATTCCTTTGTTTCAATGCTTTCTCAGGACAGATGATAGATTTTCTCTTACAGTTTCAGCACCTGCATATTCTGGAGAGCCTGCTTTAACCTCCCTGATGTCTGCAGCAAAAGAGGGAGGAGGATAAATCAACTGTTACAGCACAGAAATCTCTCCTGCTCCCTCCTCCCCCATTTGCACGTGTCTTCATAACTGGCGTGCATCTTACCCTCACAATTTAAGTCCGGAGGGGAATGCTCAGTGAGGATTAGTTTTCTGACAGCGTTTGAAGTCGCTTTCTCTTTCATTTGATTAAGGATTTGACTGAGTGTTTTTCAAGTGAAACATCTCATTCATGAATTTTTGAAAACGCCTTCAATCAGGCCCGGGTTAGCGGATGAAAGCTGTATTCACGTGTTAGGATACATGACTATGTTTTCAATCACTTGTGCACAGGCATCGATTTAGCAAGGAAAATGTGCTTCCCCACGTGTCCGTAAAAATAACCCCCGTCCGTCTGTCTCCGTGGATGCTGGGCTTTCTGTCTCGCAGCTGAACATGCTGCAGGAGGCACAACGAGTCGCATGTGTTATTTGCTGCTCCTATATGCTCAGCCGCCTCAGAGGAACCTCACATTCCTATGGAAAGACGACCACGTGCGCCTCCTTGGGTCTCCCTCGGGGAGAAATGACCATGGCAAAGCGCTCCCGACAGATGCACTCACGTCCTCCCATTCTACAGTCGCTGGCTCTGTTTGCAGAAAGCCAATAAGAAAAATACCATCAACTGCACAATGCACTCGGGGCGTGGACAGTTCGTTTCATTAAGCCGCGCGTGCGAGTATAATTTTCAGGCACAATCAAGTGAAACACAGAAGGGAAATAATACACGCGCATTGATTTTAAACGAATATAAATAAAATCGTAACCATTTATATGACTAGAAAAGCAAGACTTATACATATTTATACCTATCTGTATTCCCACGCACAAACATTCACACCCACACATCTTTCTCGCACACAAACATGCCCACAAATTCCTCCTTCCGCACACAGTCTGCAGTTTTAATGAAAGGACTGAAACTCTCCTTTCTTTGAACTACTGGCAATGCTCCCTTGCTTGTAGGTCCCCAAAGTACTGATGTTCGTGATTCATTAGGGAGGGCATGAGGGGTACAACACATAATCCAATCTCAGTCACTCGAGCGAGTATCCATGCTACTGCCTCCAGGAAAATAGGATGCTGCTGACTCTGTCCCTGCTATAGCCACTTGCTCTTCCTCCCCCCCCCCCCCCGCCCGCCTCCTTCCCTCCTTTCTCGCTCCCTCCCTCAGTGGTCTGCTGGCTGGGTTACGCAGGAGCAGCCGCTTGCAGCAGCAGTTCGCAGAAGGGTTTGCAAAAGCGCTTTCAATTCAGTGCATCCCCGGGCGGAGGAAGCCGCGGCAGCACCTGTCCTTGAGGAAGGGGGGGGAGCAGGAGT